GATAATGACCAAACTGGCACAGCTCTTGTCCACCAGCGGGTTCTCCGCGATTCTTTAAATCAGCAGCAGGTTTTAAGATACGAGCAGCCCATCGTATAACTGCAGTGCCTGGTTCTGCACAACAGAAAGGCAGTACTACGCGATGCGTATTTAATCTTTACGTATTTGATCCACTTCCCCGCACAACTCTGGGGTCGATTCGCGCTGATCGTTTGAGAAACTGAAAGCAAAACTCACTTAGAGTCGCGCAGAGCTCAACTTAAATTATTATTTTTTTCAAAAAGAGACTCTCAAAAAAGCTCCCGCGGTTCGACTTTTCCCACTTTCTTCGAACAGTTTCTTTAGCGGTCCCTCAGAAAAACCCATCCCGCGCCCCCTTCTCCGGAGAGAGGTTCCGCGCCGTGCAGAAAATAAAGGCAGCTTTTTCACGCCATGAGCAAAAGCGACTGGATCTCAACAGATCCCGTTAAAAAAAAGAAGTTTTAAAATTAAAAACAACAACAACAACAACTAAAACAACATCCATGCAACACGACGAACAAGCAAACGCGTCTACACCTATAAATATTATTCGCTTATATCAGCGAAATGTTTCCACTCAAGAAAACGTCCCACGCAACTTCGGTAGGAAAAAAAAAGGCGTCCCCAGCAGCCAACAGCCTGAAATAAAATCTGAAATTCAAAATCGTATCGACACCGCGGGGGCTCAAAACAAAGTAGCGAGGGGCTCAGTGGTGACCCCTCCATACCTGGGTATAAAAAGCGCATGCAGGCAGCGCCGGCCGTACTCGCGGTTTCTCGGGTCCCCCTCTCGAGTTCCAGTTCGCGTTCCACGGCTCGCCACGGCCACGCGTGTCCGGATCTCGCTGGCACAAAAGCAGAGCGCCCGGGCTCCGGCGGTGCGCTCCCTGGCTCGGGTCTGCAAGCCGCTCACTTCCCGGAATTCAGTACGCTCGCGGAGGGGCGGCGAAGGCCGGGCAGGAACTACATCTCCCACAAGCCCCCGCTCCTCCATCCCTCGGCGCTGTGGCCTCAAAACAGCACCCACGTTTAAAAAAAAAAGTTTTGTCAGCTGTTAACGCTATTTCTGCTGCTGTGGCTAAAGGGAGCACTGAACACAGAGGAGGACCATACACTCTTAAGAGGCTATTTATAAGAACTATGATCATATTTTCCCCTAAAACTCGATGTGGTGTGGGTGTATTTAATGTCAGCTACACGTTATCAACAAGATGGAGTTTATTCAGGTGGTCGGGGAGGGGGGGGTGCGGCAGGGCGTGATGTGGGGCGCGTAGACAGCAGTGCTCAGGGTTCTGGCACATTCCTGACAGGCTGTGGGTTCCGATCCCACACGAGGGCCTTCTGTAGTCTAGTAAAACTACCCAGCTCTGTAAATGGCCTTTGACGTAAGTAGCTTCGGATAAAAACGTTCAACAAGTAATAATGTTCTCTTCCACGGATGCAATTCCAAAGAGTTTCAAGTCCTGGGTGGGAGTTTGGTGTTCTGTTCTTGAACTCTTTATTCATAATATATTTTGTATGTCAAGGTGATAATAAAGAATTCGACATAAATATTACTTTTGAAATTGTATGTGTTACAGCCCGGTCATTTAAATAATTGAGGTATGACATTACATTATTTATACATTTATAGCTTTTAGCGTTAAGGGTTTGCGTTTGAGATCAATAACGCTGCCAATTGTACATTTTCAAGGTCTTGCCTGGGAAAATAACGTTCGCTTTGTCCGCTTCCGGAACCTAAATTCACGCGAGTGTTTCCGGCGGGTGTCGAATAAGGACGGACCGGGCGTCTCTACTGGTTTTGCTCGGGTGTCGCTCTGTGGGAGAAATTAGAGGTGAGTTTTTATTTAAAAGCAGCAACGTTGATTTCATCTCGAAGGACGGTTTTCCGAGAGGGGGCAGTTAAATCAGGCGCCTTGCTTTTTTTTAAATTGAATTCCTGTAGTGAAATACTGACGGTTGAAGCCGAGTTTTCTGAACGTGTTTCTATGGCATTAGAACGGCTCTAAACCTGGACGGGCTCATATCTCTGAGCAGTTTATATTTTCATCAGCCATTAAACAATTTGAAGTCCCAGATACTGAGGTAAGCAAGGTATACTAAGGTACCGGATGAACAAGTACGGCGCGTTTTCAAATTGTCCCACCTTTACATACCTGAAGTAACAGTTGTGCTATTCTTTCAGATTAGTAACAGGCACTGCAGCTGCCACGCAATATCTATTTATTTATTTAAGTCCCACCTGTAAAATCGTTTCAAGATCAGTTTGGGTGGGACTGTACTGAACTGCCGACTTGTTGCTTTTGGGCTGGGCGATTCGTTACCGTGCCCTTACCGGGAATGTCTTCCCAGAAGTGGATTGTATCCTGTTCATTGCACAGATATTTACAGGAATGTTGTTGAAATGCCGTCTGTTACAAGGCTGTGTAGCCGCTTTGCTGGGGATGTGGTTTCTGGGTGATTTATGCATGAGTCACAGGACAGAACTAAACTCTTCCAAATGCGGCACACCTACAAAACACAAAGCTCCTTGTTTCAGATTATGGCAGTACAAATAAAATCTTTCTTGCTAGGTTTGCCCTGCTTACTTTTACCTTTCAGTTGATGGAAGCAGGAGCTGGCAGTGCTGTGGTTGGGTAGCGTTGTTATGCCTCCCTGGGTTCACTTCCAGACCTGGGGTGCTGTCTGTGTGGAGTGTATGTTCTCCCCATGTTCACAGGGGTTTCCTCTGGGTACCCCAGTTTCCTCCCTCAGTCCAAAGACATGCTGGTGGGTTAGTTGGCTTCTGGGAAAACTGGCCCTGGTGTGAGAGAGTCTGTGTCTCCTGTGATGGACTGGTGTCCTGGCCAGGGTGTGTGAGTGTGTGTGTCTGTCCTGTGATGGACTGGTGTCCTGGCCAGGGTGCGTGTGTGCTGTGATGGACTGGTGTCCTGGCCGGGGTGCGTGTGTGCTGTGATGGACTGGTGTCCTGGCCGGGGTGCGTGTGTGCTGTGATGGACTGGAGTCCTGGCCAGGGTGCGTGTGTGCTGTGA